TTTTTTTTTTTTTTTATTTATTTCCATTGATTTCGATTATTAATCAGAATTTTGACAGTAGTATTTGAATAAATTGATGAATTTGATGAATCAAAATGTATATTTGCCGGTAACGCGCTAATATACTACTGTTTACTACAAACATACCTCTGTTACGTGATTTCGTTGTCACAATTTTTGAATTAATCCATTTTTTTTTTTTTTTTAATATTTAGAGAAGATTGAAATGAGTCATTTACGAAACGTGAAGTATTCGAAATCACATGGTTAATAACATCTTTGTTGTATTACAATCAAGAATACAATCTTTTCTAACAGTAAGATATTATCGTGTAAACGTGTTTAAAGTATATTCATTTATATTTGTCAAAAATATTATTCTTTCATTAATTAAAAATGTGTGAGACAATGCATTTTTTAAAGTATATTATTTTACCATTTTTTGACAAATCGGACAATGATTTTTTTCATAAAAAATTATTAAAATGGAAATTTTGGTCTTTGAATAGTGTACATATAACAGGCTCTTACTCTTATGTATACGGTCCTGATATTCCGCGCAGACTCTTGTCGTTTCTTCCTGTTCTCTGTCTACTTTCAATTATGACGATTTTCGCGAAATAATTTTGTACTTTTTACTGCACTTAAAATACATTTTTTTTTTTGCTTATCAATACATAATAAATTCAGTATCGAGATAAACTTATAAAAATAACAATTTTAGATAAGCGAATATGATTAAATGTTTTTTTAGTTTGATTGATTGAATGATAAAATTAATACAAATAAATAGGAATGAGATTATTTGTTTATTAAAAGAAACATTCATTCAGTTTTTTATAATTTCTTAGTATTTTTATCTTTTTTTTTTACGATCAAAATCTTCATAGTTGCGAATTTGAATGGAATGATGACATAAATATCTATATATTGTTTGATATATTATTTTTGAATTATTCTTCCCAATATTTAAAGAAATTGCTTACTAATGTATAATAGTTTAGTTGCTTGTGAAAGCGACGTGGAGCCACTATCCGGAAGCATTCTTAATCTGTACATTGAAATTCGACTTAACGCTCGTCAGTGTAGCCAACCTTGTCGTATGCTTTTAATGATACATGTTTTGCATAGATTTTTAAACCTTATAACCTCCTTTGAAATTGGTTCTCTTGTTTCGTAACATGAGAACCGAATTTTAATAAGGAGTAAAGATCAATGTATTGCTTAAAGTTGAAGCAAATATTACGCATAATTACAGAATGACATTTCATTATCAGTAATATCGACAATACAATTTTTCATGTCGTTTCGAAGTTTACTGATTGCTGTGTTCATATAAAGGTTATCGTATGGTAAATGTATTTAAATGGATTGACGTGCAAACAGCTGTTCTTTTCAGTGTTGCCAACGGAAAGTTTATACTTGACTATCACACTACACACATAGAGCATCAGCATACAGTTATTATTTTGAATTTCTTTTTTTTTTTTATTAAACTTTGCATTTTAAGTCTGTTTTTTTGTCAAATTTTGTAAAATTCTTGAAGCTTCGCTTAATCTCAAATTATATATAGATATGAGATGAATATAGACTGATGAGATGGTGAAATATGAAGAATACGTTAAATTAAAATCTATGACATCGAAAACAATCGACGTGAAATTATATTCAAGTACTTTGAATTTCACAATCTAAAGCGAAGAGTTTAGGTTAATCATTTAAATATTTTATCAAGGTTATAGGAATCATATGTATGTTAAGATTTATCAGTAGCAAAATAATATCTGAAACTATTATCAGATATGAGTTTTCTTTTCAAATACTCATACTATTTAAATTCAGATTTTTTTTTTCACGATTAAACTAGTAAAGTCTTAAATTTTATTTTACAGTCAATGCTTGATTATTCGACAATCAATATTATCTAACATTTGTATTATTTTTTCCCTCCCAGAGTAAGGTTTCTTTAAAAAGTAGAAGTCCTACATATTTTACATTTATTTGTAACCAGTCTCATGTTTGAAGTGATAAAGCAATTTGTGAATTGAATCTATACATTAGAATAACTTAAGTTATATCTTAATAATTTAAGCTAATATTAGTGTAAGTTTAATATATTACTAAACATGTATGATTGCTGAATAATTGAATAAAAAATTTATAAATTTGGAAAAGATTCATGTAAATATGTAGTTTAAAATGAATTAAAATAAAACCGATATATTATTTTTACTAAAATATGAAAACAACATGTGCATCTTTTATTTTCTTTCAAATCGGTGAACTTACACTATAAACTTTACTTTTAGGTTATGTTAAATAACAATTTTATATTTGTCATAATAAGTTATATAAAGATTATTAATATCATTGATTTTTAAAGTATTTCATTCTATATTGATCACGATTCAAGCAAGTATATAATATAATAACATTATCAAACTTTTTTTTTTAATCTTAATTATTAATCTTGAAAATTCAGAGTTCTCATGAGGGACAAAAAGTTTAACTGATATTAGATATATAGAATAATATCTCCAGACTTAATGATCTAACAATTTTTTACTTGTAATAATTGATTTAAAAATACTTCACATGAATGAAAAACTAACTAAAATAAGTTCAAACTAACCTTGAAATCTTGAGGATTAATAACTTAAAGAAGTTAAAATTTAATTTTATTCCAAAACAAAAAGATTTTCATTTGGTTCATGGGTCATTCAACATTTAAAAAAATTTATCTATAAAAATAGTTTATATTTTCATTTATTCTTCTCTACTATAATGCTACAGTTCCATTTTTTAAAATTCTTATATATTTGTATTTCTATGAGACTATTGTTACAAATAATTGTACAATGTAATAAAATAATTCGAGTGCACAAACTTCGCAAGAATCAGCAACTTTTAATCTATATTTACAATACATTTTTTTTAAAATAAAATTCGAAGGACCATGTGTTATAGGTTTAGGTTAGGTTTAGGAAAACAAAACAAAAATAAGAATACGTAGAAAATATAGAATGAAAATCTTACGCAGGGAATTTTACGTTTCTTGTGCCTAACAGTTCTTCATAAAGTTGATCATAAAGTACTAATAATAGTTGATGATCGTCGAGTATCAACGAGCACCACCGATTACTACAGTATCGCATTTCAAGATTGCCTTTGACCATGATTCAACATCCATTTGGAAACATTATTATTTTGCAGTAATTGAAAATTATAACTCAGCAATATAATTATGTTTCTTCAAGTT